TGCACCACTTAATTTTTTGCGAGCATCGAATATATACCTATTTGTCATCATAAATTTTTCACCACTCCTTTCAAAATGTCATACATCCGAACTTAGAACATTGGTTATTTAATATGCTCTAAGCATTCCAATAACATTACTCTCATTTTGGTAAGAGTTTAACAATCGGGTCATCATTCATCATTACAGCCCTTCACAAGTCCATTGCTAAACGTAGGCCTCCCCCAAGGAATGCCACAAAGCACGTCCTAAGCCACCTGCATCTATTTACTTTCTGCATATCTTACCAGGACGTCACTACATCTAGTGGGGGGTCGCCCTACACTTCGCCTACCGGTACGAGTCTGCCACTCGAGAAGATTTTCCCCCGTAAGTTATCAGTTCTTCGAGTTATATGACCGGCCCATTGCCACATCAGCTTACTGATCCATTGGGCTATATCGGTCACTCTGATTCTAGTGCGGATATCCTCATTTCAAAGTTTATCATGCAGAGAAACCCCGAGCATAGCCTTCTCCATAGCTCGCTGAGCGACCTTGAGCTTCCTCATACGGCCAGCAGTGAAGGTCTGCGTCTCAGATCCATAAGTCATCACTGGCAACATGCACTGGTTGTACAATCTAATTTTCAAGTTTTGAGGTATACCTGACGAGACTTAACGTAACTTTCCGAACGCTGCCCAGCAGAGTTGAATCTGTCGATCGATAACTCGGTCGAAGTTGGACTTAATTATTCGGACTATTTGTCCCAGGTAAATACACTCATCAACAACTTCGAGCTTAGTGCTCCCAACAACTACCGGCATAGGTGTCACATGGACGTTATACATGATCTTTGTTTTGTCCATGTTCATCTCAAGACCTATCCGCTGGGAGGCACTATTAAGGTCATTGAGCATAGTGCTTAAGTCCTCCAGCGATTCTGCCATAAGGACTATATCATCGGCAAATCGAAGGCGTGGTAATACCGTATCCTTTCCAGTCCAATAGCTTGAAAACGTCTTCCAATGCAGCGGCGAAGAGTTCCGGGGATATAACGTCACCCTGTCTTACACCTCTCTGCAATTAGATAGGTTTCGTACTCTGGTTCTGTACTCGGATAGATATCGTAGCCCTACTGTACAAACACTTCAGCACTTCGATATATCGGCAGTCAACTTGGCGCCGCTGAAGGGACTGCAGCGCCGCCCAAATTTCGACGGAATCAAAGGCTTTCTCATAGTCCACATACGCAAGAGATAGTGGCAAATTGTACTCCTCGGTCTTCTGTGCAACTTGTCAAAGAGTATGTATGTGATCCATGGTGCTAAAGCCTTTTCGGAATCCGGCTTGTTTGAGAGGCTGGAAGTCGTCGAGTCTGCATGCAAGACGATTCGTAATGACTCTCGAAATCAACACGTAAACGCGGCTCAGAAGAGATATCGGTCTGTAATTTTTCAAGAGAGTGTTGTCGACTTTCTTGAAGAAAAAGACCATCGCACTTCTGTTCCACACCGCCGGGGTAGTGCCACCATGGTGGACGGAATTAAAGAGCTTTAGAAGGACTTCAAGTACCGGTTTTCCACAAGCTTTCACAAGCTCCACTGCAATTCCATCCTCGCCCGGGGACTTGCCGTTTTTAAGGTGCTAGAGAGCCATTCTAATCTCGCTCAGGCTGACGTTTGGAATATCATCGGAATAGTGTCGGATAAGACTTGCTCTGGGATCGTTACTCACAATTGCGTGTGGCTGGAACGATAATATGTACAGCTGCCCATAGAACCTCTCAATCTTACTCAAAATCTCAGGTGCCCCGGAAGCGACGCTGCCACACTCGGTCTTCAGCTTCGACTGTTGGCTCTTTCTGGCAGACAGATCTCTGGCAAAGAATTTGAAGCCATGGTTCCACTCGATCGCTTCTTCAATACGAGCTGTATTGAAGTTTCGTAAGTCCTGCTGCATGTATTTGGAGATCTGTTTGTTCAGTTGCCTGAATTCTGTCAAATTTGCTGAAGACTGCAGCGTCATCTACCGTCTAATAGCCATGAGATTAAGAGTGTGATAGGAGAGTTCTTGTGGGCTTCTGCGGCCGGTCTTGCAAAACTTAACTCCGACCGCATGGACAGTTTTCACGAGCTTGTCATTCATATCGTCCACTGCATTGCAATCTTCTAGGTACTAAAAACGATTTTGTAACTTGAGCTGAAAGTTTTTGGAACTCTGGATTAGAGCACGAGGGGGAGCGAGCGTTGACTTCATTGAACGTGACCTTATCAACTTATCGTTTAGGTTCAGTGTTCTTCTCACTATTCGGTGTGTCATCCTCATACATTTCCTCCACCTCATCATCGGGATGTACCGAGGATGGTTCGTAAGCCTGTATGATCTTCAGCGAATACCGTTTAGTGATTCTGAGTATAAGTTTTGCAACCCTCGTCGACACACTCCCTATCTTTACAACGTTGTTAACGAGAGACTTGTGAACGATAAAACCGACACCTCCTTGGGACAGATGGTCGCCCTCCCGGTCATAAAACAAGTTGGCGTGTCCTCTCCCTCTCTTCGGACCTTGGATAGTCCTATAATAATCCAGCGCAGCTTGTCTATCTCCTCTTACAGCTCCAGGATCTTCTCGTCAGTCCTCAGGCTGCGTGTGTCATATATTGCCTGGTCGAGTCAAAACCTGGCAGTCGGCTAAAATAATTAATAAACTAACACGGTATTATAAAATGTAAAAAATTAGAAAGCCTAAATAATAAATTTCACTCAGTTCAACGACTAGTTCACTCATCGCACGTCAGAAACAAGAATTTTGTGTTATTGGGAGCAGGTATCATAAGTTCAACAATGTTTCAACAATGTTGGTATGATTAAAAAATAAATGTATGCAGACAGTCATTTTATTCATCCAGCTAACAAAATACACTGCTCAACATAGGCCTCCTTCATAGATTATCTCAAAGGAGGGATTTTGCCATAGTTGCCACACATGGCAGGCGAGTTGGCAACCGCAGTTTTTATAATTTTGAGTTATTATCAGAAAGATAGTGCTCCTGTCTCAGTTTCCCTCCATCACTTCTTACGACACGCACGGTACGATATGGGATAGTGGATATTCCTATACCGCCACTGCTGATTAGGTGATTCATCTTATTGTTTTTCATAATTTTATAGTATTTTGTTTTTCAGAGTAAAGCTTCTGCATTCTGTGTTCTAAAGGTTAATGGAACCTAATTATACATATACACTGACTGTTATTCGATAAAAATGAGTAAAGAGTATCTTTCAAATAATATTTTAGAAGAAGACTTTTTGAAAAGTTTCGCTTCGTATCGTTACTTACAAATAATCTTGGGATCGTGCCGAGTTGATGCCCGCGATAGATTTGTCACCGCACCAACAAAGTATCAGAAAGCGTATACCGTCATGTGTATTGTAATCGCTACCTTTTTATTTATAAATTTAATCTTAATTTTATATTATAATGACATGTCTGGGAAAAAAATTAATATGTACCGCATTATATTTTGTGCACTGTCGTTGAATTTCGTCACTTATTTACTTAATATCATACATGTTCGATTCTTTAACGGCGAAGATAACGCTAAATTCTTTTGCCAGTTGCAAAGAATAGATCGTATGTTAAAAATTGAAAATAATAAAATAATAAATAACTTTACAATTATAATAAACATTGCTACGATATTATTCGTGATGTTAGCGTATCTAATAATCTGTGGTGTTTCATGGTACCGAGAAATTATAGTTTCTATTGGGTTGCTTGGAACTATATACAATCAAACCACGTTTACAGTAGAATTCAGTTTCTGTGCAAATATCATATTTATATTCTATGTTCGGCTACGTTTTTTAAACTCAATCATTCGAAATTATTTACATAAAACTATTAAATACCCCAAGATGGGATGTATCAATTATCTTTCTGAAAAGCGAATTTGTTATTTAGCAAGCAAAGTACATAATTTCGTTTCATGCGATACGGATATTTATTTAAAAGAAATATTTGATGCCTTCTCTAGATTTCAATACCTTTATAGATTTCAGGTAATATAACGTGCAATAATAACTATTATTTGTTTTTCATTACTTTAAAATACTTATTTTCAAAACATTATTGCAGATGTTTCTATTTTGTGGCAAATTTGTCGCAAATATCATAATATCATTTGTATTGGTACTCTTAATGTTGCAGAACCAAGTAAGTTTCAGTATCAAAATAAACTTTTTATTGATCTAAAGTCCTTCTGGCCTATATTTGATAACGAGGAATACTTCTGAATAATCATAAGCAATCAACTGCGTGAGGTATAAAATAGTGCCATGATTGTAAACGCAAACACAATGATAATTCTATGAGATCATCATATTATATATATGTAAGGATGCCACGTCATGACGCGTCATAGATGCGGAAGAAATTGTTACGCAACTAGTTCATAAAAAAATGTTTTTAGAATTAGAATTTAGCTGCGTCAAAAGTGCGAGATGTCTGGCACTGTATACCTACACCGAGAAAGAGAAAAGGCCTGCTTTTTTTTAGAATAAGGATGACAAACAAGCACACAGTCCACCTGATGGAAAGTGGATGCTATAGCCCATAGAAATCTACATTTATCCTCGATTAAATATCAAAATGCAGATGCTTTGTCACCCCTGAGGTCTAAGGTACAAATGCCTCGTTTGCAGTAAAAAGGGTCTCCGGTTCTCTACACTAACCATAAGAAACACTGCAGCATTAAGCTGCTATTTTACGCTGGTATTCTGTGAGAGCGTAGTCCTTCCCCGGCCGAGCCGACCCTTTCGAGTTACAACTATAATATAGCTGCAGCGTGGCTCTACCACATAAAAAAATGTATCCAGCAGTGGACTTTTACGGACTGATGAAGCAGAAAGAAGAAAATTTTACCATTTTAACTAATAATTCTATATTGACATTATAGTTACCTAACATAAACTTTGTAGGAAATGAGTTTATTCATTAGTGTTCAAATTCCAATCGCAATGATTATTGATATATTTTTATCGATGTTACTCTGCATACGTTGTCAGCTGTTCCTCAACGAAGTAAAAACTACTAAAAAATTATCAACAAGTGTTATGGCGCTACATATTTCTGGTAAGTAAATATTTTTTTTATAGGAGAGGGGTAAGTGACTTATCTGATGGTAAGTGACTACCGCCGCCCATGAACAACTGCAACACCGGCCTTAGCCATCAACAGTTGATGCAATTATTATTATTTTACAAACTAATCAACTAGGCTACAAAATAAAAAATATAACTACAACTCACAGACTGGCTACGTTTGTCCTAAAAAGTATCACAGATTTATTATATACGACATTTTATATACATTATATTCGACAACTATATATATATTCGTTTTCACTTCTGACGTGCTGTCCTACGATGCTCCGGGTGGCAGGTCTTTGCGAGGTCCTTTGTCCTTCGTGAAAAGTATGTGATGCGAAAGTAGGTCTGGTTGTTTGGTTTAGGTATTTGTCATGTTTGAGGAGAAATGCTAAGGTTATACAAATAAATAAAATTAGAGTTTAAAATATTTTACATTGAAGGATTTACACAATTAACAAATACAGGGATGATAAATTTTAAAATTGATGTTTACGGCTTTTCCTAAGACTATAAAATCTTTAATTAAAGCACAATAATCTAATGAACGAGCTACGTCATTTTCAATTGAAAGAATAGCAAAAGGTGAAAGCCGATCTTGTGTTAGTAAACTTTAGTTAATTTTTTTTCTATTATGTATTTCAGCACCGAGATAATGTTGTCGTTTCCTTCATACACACGGATGAACATATTCAGTTCTTTGTACAATTCATGTCCACCAATATCACATGATTCTCCTACTGTCATAGATATTTGCAAGTCGCTGCATTGCTTCAAAAGTTCACTATCACCAATTTCCTTTAATCTTTTTATATTATACATGAAACCAAATATGCTCTCATAATGTTTAAGAGCCTCAAACCTAGGATGGTGCTAGCTTGCGTGCACATTATCGACAATGACATAAAATAGTTTATTTTGAAAATTTCTTCCGCATTCAATTAATGAGCTTCATCTTCCCCTTCATGATCAAAATGCCTTTTTTGCGTCGTCTTCTGACTTCTTTCAACTGTCTATCAATATCATTTTCCTCGGCTATTTCTCTCGCTGTTACAAGGGATGACTGAAAACCATTTTCTCGATAATTATCGATCGAATTTGTGAATGCGTCTAGGTGTTGTATAGCCACATCTAAGTTCATGTTTTCGCTTTGCCACATTTTACTTATAACATTAATCTTTGTAAGAATGTCATAACATATGATAAGTGAAACTGAAAATTCGTAGGTAGTTATTTCCTTATCTATAGAGCGGCATTCACTGACCAACTGACAATTTGTTGTATTTTCTGCTAAATCCTTTAAAGCATCACATAAATCGCTTAGTTGGTATTTAACGGCCTTCACCGATACTACCCTGCACTCCCATCTAGTTTTAGAAAGTGATTTTAGCGATAACTATTTTACATGAGCGTTTAAAATAGCCCACCTCCCAATCAAAATATCAAAGAAACTTATTATTGAGTCAACTTAAATGCCTCGTATGTATGCGCACGTATGTAGCATTTTAATCCCTGGATTGTACTTATATGTACCTTTATTTAATTACCTATGTAATAAATTCATTATTTCAGGGCCGTTAAGAGAGAAAGCTAAAAGAATGTGGGAAATTATAGAAAAGACGCCGCCAAAGTTCTCTGTTTACGGCATGTGGGATATGGATGCGTCCCTTCTGCTAAAAATTATTCACCTTCTATCTACCCTCATTATAACTGTGTTGCAATTCACTTTGTTATAAAATTATAAAATAAAATCCGATCCGAGTATCATTCAAAAGCATTTTTTTTTAATTTAAAAACACCTTATCACAAGGAATTTGTTTTTTATCTGTTTTACATTTTTTTATAGGATATAGCACACAGCCCACCTGATGGTAAGTGGTTGCTGTGGTCCATAGACATCTACATCTATCCTCGATTACGAATCAAAATGCAGATGCATTGTCAACCGTGAAATGCCTCCTTTCCAGTAAAAAGGGTCTCCAGTTCTCTACAAGCCAAACACCAAGGGGTGACAAAGACAACTCACTCGCACAGTCAGAGAATGCTTACAAAAGAATTACTCCGCAAAGACATACCAATAAATAAACAGCTACCTACTATAGTATCTAACAGCATACAAATATTACATCTTAATATGTATCGCAAATTTATTTTTATTTACTTTCGAACATAATTTATGTCCTAAATAAATGAATTCAGGTTAGGTAGCGCTCCGTCAAGAGAGTTACGCGATCGAAGAAACAGAATAAATAATAGTAACTCAAGTTACTAAAATCTTACTTAAGGTACACCATGAGCCAAGCGCGACTAACGAATCTTTCCATTTTATCTATCGAAAAGGACAAGAATGTAAATTTTGATAATGTAATAAAATATTTTACCTTAAACTTTACCTCCGTATAGAGGCGGATAAGAATATTCACTACCCCACTTAATTCCCGTGGGTGTCGTAAGATGTGACAGAGGGAAACAGAGGCAGAAGATGGGTAGCAGCGTCTTTCTGATAACAGATAAATAATATTAAAAAACTGAAGTTGCAAACCCGCTCGCCAAGCGAGGCCAACTATGGCAATATAATAAAATAAATATAAACATTAATATTACATAATATAAAATTAATATAAATAAATATAATATAGAGGTGAATAAACACAAGCGTGTCTTTTCACCGCCAAAAGGAGCCCGCTCACTCGGGCTCCTACTTTCCGGAATGTATCCTTGGAGTACACTGACCGCCTTAAGTTGTTAGGGGTTGAATTTCCGATCCTTAACTATAGGTGGTTCATTGAGTCCAGAGTCAAAGCAGCCGCAAGGAAACTTGATGTTCTTGCAAGGGTGCAGCGGTACTTCACGACGGGGCAGCTTCTTAACTTATATTCTTTTTTTATTCTTTTTTTTTTAGAATCGTTACCCCCACACTAGGATTTTCTCCTGTGTCGTGGAGGCAGTTTACAAACATAAATTGCACGAGGACAAACATCCAGACCCGGATGAATTATTGTAGGCCATAAAATACTTGTTCCGTGCGGGATTGGAACCCAGCGCAAAAACTCATTACGAAGCCACTGTGCCATGGATCCGTCCATATAAAGCGTAGGTCCGATCATGCATGGAGTACTGCTGTCACATATATTTGCGTGCGAGCTTCAAAGAATAGAAAGAATAGCCTGGTGCTGCAATTGCCACCTGGCATCGTTGACTCAATGGAGAGACGTGCTAAGAGGCTTATTGGTGACCTTGATTTGGTTGAAACCAATCTTGTCAGCCTCGAGCACAGGCGCAGAGTAGTCAGTCTCTCGTTATTCTATAGGATGCATTTCGGTGAGTGTGCGCAGAGATTACACGCTTTGGTTCCTCCCTCTCCTTTCTACCATCGAACAACCAGGCGGTCGGCGGGTCTTCATCACTTTGTTGTCGATATTCCACGTATTAGAACCTAACGGTTTGCTTCGTCTTTTGCAATGCGTACAGCAAAAGAGGGGAATAGTTTGCCGGCGTCTATCTATCCGTTCGAATACAACCTGAGCGTCTTCAAGACAATAGTGAATAGGCTTTTGTTACGTTAAGATAGTGCGATTTACTATCTAGGGCGGTAAATCTGGTTTCACCAGGTGGGATTGTGGTCAAGCACTGGCTTATAATAAGTAAAAAGTATATACCCGCCTATGGCGACAGTTACAAAAAGACAGCACCCAGTACCCAGTGGCCCCGTTATTCCTGGCTACAGTGGCGACCACGGTAACGGCTGGGCAGGGGGTGCTAAGGATCTCCGGTGGAGATTCAGTCGCCACGATCGTGGCGACGTGAAGACGACTTGATCTGGCAATGTATAATGCACTTAACCTGATTACTGACCAGAAGATCCTGGAGTTGGAAGAAGTGATAGACAAGTTGCGCCTGGATATTATGGGTTTATCTGAGGTCCGACGAGAGGGGGAGGACACGTTAATCCTCGAATCCAGCAACTTGTTCTATCACCGGGAGGACGACCATCTGTCCTAAGGAGGTGTCGGATTTATCGTCCACAAGTCTCTCGTTAACAACGTTGTGAAGATTAGTAGTGGATCGACGAAGGTTAGTATCTTATACTCAGAATCACCAAACGGTATTCGCTGAAGGTCATACAGGTTTACGCACAAACCTTGGCACATCCCGATGAGGAGGTGGAGGAAATGTATGAGAATATCTCTAGAGTCATCACGTTCCTCCAACACCCAATACGTTGTTAATGGAGGAGAATTTGAACAATTTGGAAAGAATTTGACTGCATACAGGTAACTGAATAGACAGATTTCCAAATGCATGCTTCGGGACTTACGCAACTTCAACACAACTTCTATATAGCTCGTATTGAAGAAGCGATTGGGCGGAACAAGGACCCCGAAGTCTTTGCCAGAGATCTGTCTGTCAGAAAGAGTCAACTGTGGAAGCTGAAGACCGAATGTGACAGCATCGTTTCCAGAACACCTGAGATTTGAGTGAGTTTGAGATATTCTATGGGCAGCTGTACACGTCATCGTTGGAGACACACGCAAGTGTGAAAAATTATCCAAGAGCAAGTCTTATCCGACACCGCAATCATCGAAATATGATATCCCGGATGTCAGTGTTACGGCCCACAACTACTAAATATGCAAGGGTTCAATATCCGGGGCTCATGAGCGGAAAATTCAACGAGCAGCCGCAGGTTCGAGCCCAAGTGGCTATATGGAAGAATTTCCTATAATACTAAGCTATATGGGAGAATGCTAGAAACACATATTACGTACCAGTATCAGAAGCTAACTTCGCACCAAGGCGCGGTCAGGCCGTGAGTGGGTGTAAGGTGAATGGCAAGTAGTGTTCAGTGATGTGTAAATGTGTGAGACCTTGACCACCTTAGGCGATCAACAGCGGTCGAGTTCCAGGCTGCCCCAAAATGCTGTATCGCTCCAGCAGGCTCCACCGCTGGACCATTTCTTTCTTCCTTGTCACTATTTCAGTCTATTAGCCTCATTGTACATTTAACTAACTTAAACTCGCCTAATTCCACATTCATCGTAGAATCGAACACGTGATACCCGACACAGTAAGGACAGTAGTTCCAATTCGACATTCAATGTCCCGGATTCACTTATCACAAAATTATAAATAGGGAATTAAAGCGATCTCTTAATGAGTCATACGATTCAGCGTTAAACACAACTAAGTTCCTTCATTCGACACCAAAACACCACGTCGCGAAAAGATTCAAAATACCCCTCGTTGACACGTAAACTAACAAGCCAATTAACACAGAAAAGGGCACTTTTTTATAGGATAAGGGTGACAAACGACCACACAGTCCACCTGATGGTAAGTGGTTGCTGCGGCCCATAGACATCTACATCTATCCTCTATTACAAATCAAAATGTAGATGCGTTGTCACCCGTGAGGACTAAGATGGAATGCCTCATTTCCAGTAAAAAGGGCCTCCGGCCACCTGCACTCACCAAGCGAAATGCAGAGGTAAACCTCTACTTCACGCTGGTTTTCTGTGAGGTCGTGGAACCACCTCGGTTCGAGCCGACCCATCCGTGCGACACCAAAAGCTGCCACGTGGCTCTACCACTGTTAAAAACGCGAATGCACTTAACGCGACGGCACAATTATAATGATTTCCTGACGATCAACCGGGAGAAGCTCTCGAACAAGGAATGCGCGGTTCGAATCTTAGACCGTATATCTACTCGACGCGCGCGTGCACAATTCCGCATCCCCGAACAAGTTAAATATTGCAAAATTCACATATCCACGTAAGGAAGTAACACGCTCTAACTATCTGGACCCGACAACGGTCGCGTGAACTTCGGCCGCAATAAACGAGCTACGCGGGTTCCCCGCTTCGCGGCCCGTGGGCAACTCCCTCATCGTCGCCCACGCGTCGAGCCACTGCAAGCCGCACACAGCCGCCCCACCTCGGCGCTTATCTCACCTACATACCATCGGGTGAGGCGCCAGCTCGAGCGCAATTGGGTGGCGTTCAAACATGCCCAAATTTGGGCATAAACAGTCAGTCTGAGCGAAATTAGAATCGCTCTCCAGCACCTTAACATTGGCAAGTCCCCGGGTGAGGATGGAGTTACAGTGGAGCTTCTGATAGCGGGTAGAAAACCTGTACTTGAAGTCCTTCAGAATCTCTTAGGCGTGGAGCAGAAGTGCCTTGTGGTGGACTTGGTCTTCAAGAAAGGCGACAACGTTCTCTTGAAGAATTACAGACCGATTTCCCTTCTGAACTGCGTCTACGTGCTGTTATCGAGAGTCATAACGAATCGGCTCGCACGCAGACTCGACGACCTCCAGCCTCCCGTACAAGCCAGTTCCCGAAAAGGCTTTAGCACCCTTCCGCAAATTATAGAATCTACCACTTTTTCTTGTGTATATGGACTATGAGAAAGCTTTTGATTCTGTCGAAATTTGGATGGTGCTGCAGTCCCTTTAGTGGTGCCAAGTTTACTATCGGTATATTGTGTGAAGTGTGTTGTGTTTGTACAGTAAGGCTACGATGGCTATCCGAGCTCAGAACCAGAGTACGAAACCTATCCAATTGCAGAAAGGTATAAGAAAGGGTGACGTTATATCCCCGAAACACTTCACCGCTGCATTGGAGGGCATTTCCAAACTACTGAACAGGAAAGGATACGATATTAATAACAATGACGAGTACATCATTTACCTTCGATTTGCCGACGATATAGCCCTTATGGCAAAATCGCTGGAGGGCCTAAGCACTATGTTCAATGGCCCCAATAGTGCCTCGTAACGGAGTGGAACTCGTGCCTGGCTACGGTGGCGACCATGGTAACGGCAGGGCAAGGGGTGTTAAGAATCTCCGGTCGAAGTTCGGTTGCCACTTAAGACGACTCGACCTGGCAACATACAACGCACGCACCCTAACGACTAACGAGAATATCCTAGAGCTGGAAGAAGAAATAGACAAGTTGCGCTTGGATATTATAGGATTATCTGAGGTCCGCAGAGAGAATTTTGTTCTATCACCGGGAGATCGACCACCTGTCCCAAGGAGGTGTCAGATTTATCGTTCACAAGTCACTCGTTAACAACGTAGTAAAGATAGTGAGTATGTCAATGAGGGTTGCGTACCTTATACTCAGAATCACCAAACGGTATTCGTTGAAGGTCTTATAGGTTTACGCTCCAACCTCGGCACATGCGAGCGGCGATGAGCAGGTGGAGGAAAGGTATGAGGATATATCTAAAGCCATGCATTACTCTAAAACCCTCTATACGGTGTTAATGGGAAACTATAACGCAAAACTAGGCACCAAAGAGAAAGGTGAGCTGAAAGCAGGGAAATTCGGAATAGGGCAACGGAACCCAAGGGGTGAGCAGCTGGCCGACTTTCTTGGAGAAAGAGGGACTCTATTGAGACTAGCTATATAGATTTATAATGAGATCTTTCTTCCAGAAGCGGCCACACAGGAAGTGGAACTGGTCGAGCCCCGACGGTTCGACAAAAATGAGATTGTCTTCATTATGACGACTAGACGGCAATTGTTCAGTGATGTCTCAGTGATCGCGAGGGTGAAAACTGGTAGCGATCACCGAATGGTGAGAGGCACACTGAATCTAAACGTTAAGTTGGAGAGGTCACGTCTAAGGAAGTCAACATTCCGTCCCCCTCGTGCTCTAATGCAAAGTCACAAGAACTGTCAGCTCGAGTTACAAAATCGTTTTCAGTGTCTAGAAGATTGCGATGCAATGGACAATATGAATGACAAGCTCGTGGAAACTGTCCATGCGATCGGAGCTAAGTTCTGCAAGACCCGCTGCAGAAGAACACAAAACTCTCTCTTGAAGAATTACAGACCGATTTCTCGTATGAGCCGCATCAGCGTGCTGTTTTCGAGAGTCATTACGAATCGTCTCGCACACAGATTCTATGACTTCCATCCTCCCGAACAAGCCTGATTCCATTGCCGTATATCGAAGTGCTGAAGTGTTTATACAGTAGGGAACGAAACCTATCCAACTGCAGAGAGGTGTAAAACAGGGTGACGTTATATCCCCGAACCTGGACTGGAAATGATACGGTATTAACATCAATGGCGAGCATATCACTCACCTTCGATTAGCCGACGATATAGGCTTTATGGCAGAATCGCTAGAGGCAATTAGGCTTCGGCCAATAATATTGATATATCGAAATATAGATATTTTATCATAAAAATGTATATATATATATATAGACTACTATTTTTAATCGCGATATATCGACATATCGATATTTTATTTAGAGTATCGAATTCGTATCAATTTCTATATATTTTTGAATATTCTATTAATGGACAAAACATGAAGCAAAAAAGCATTCATGTGTGGTTGTGGGTGTCGTTTTTTTTTTCGCCATCCAACAGTAATTGAATTTTGGGCCTTATCCTAGCAAATGATGACGATATATCGACATTTATCAAGTGCAATATACCGATACTGTTTAAAATATCGATACGATATATATCGCTATATTTTTTCACTTGTGCATCCCTACTCCTAAGGGGTAGGTCTTAAAATGAACATGGACAAAACAAAGATCATGTGTAATGTCCATGTCACACCTATGCCGGTAGTTGTTGGGAGCACTAAGCTCGAAGTTGTTGACGAGTATGTTTACCTGGGACAAATAGTCCAAGTTAGTGCAACTTCGACCGAGAGGTCAATCGACGGAATCAACTCGGCTGGGCAGCTTTCGAAAAATTACGACACATCTTCTCGTCATTTCACGTCATTGTACAACTAGTGCGTATTGCCAGTGATGACTTATGGTCTTTCACTGCTGGCCGTATGAGGACGCTCAAGGTTGCTCAGCGAGCTATGGAGAGGGCTATGGTTTTCTTTGCGTGATAAACTTAGACACGAGGAAATCCGCAGTAGAACCAGAATGACCGACATAGCCCAACGGATTAGTTAAGTTGAAGTGACGACCTGGTAAGACATGCAGGAAGTCGATTGATGCAGACGGCTCATGACCGTGCTTTGTGCCATTCCTTGGGGGAGGCCTATGTTCAGCAGTGGACTTGTGAAGGTCTGTAATGATTGTGATTATGATGAAAACAGTGCAGTGAAGAAACATGTCACTGCAAAAAGGAGCCAGCTCATCTTGGCTCCTTCTTTCCAAAATGTATCACTGGAATACACCGACCGTCTTCAGTCGTTGGGGGTTGAGATATCCTTAAATCTGAATTTTCGGCGGTTCATTGAGTCCAAGGCCAAAGCAGCTACAAGGAAGCTAGGAGTCCTTGCAAAGGTGCGGCGATACTTCATGCCGGGACAGTTGCTTACTTTATATAAAGCGCAAGTCTTGCTGCCATATGGGCTGGTGCTGTAAAAAGCCACCTAGTAGCTTTGGACTCAATGCAAAGGCAGGCAATTATTGGTGACATAATTTTGATTAAAACCAACCTTACCAGCCTCAAACACAGGTGCAAAGTAGCCAGCCTTTCGGTTTTCTACAGGATGCATTTCGGAGAGTGTGCGCAGGAATTGGATTATTTTGTTCCTCCCTCTCCATCTCGGACAGCCAGACATTCATGCAGTCTCCACTCTTTTGTTGTTGACTTACCACGCATTCGAATCAAAAGGTTTGCTACATCGTTCATGATGTGTACAGCAAAGGAGTGGAATAAGTTGCCAGCATCTGTTTTTCCATCGGATTATTCAAGGCAAGGGTGAATAGGCTTTTGTTAAGTCAGTGCGCTTCACCGTCTTAGGCTCCATCACCACTTACCATCAGGTGGGATTGTAGTTAGTTATTTAAAAAAATCTGCAGAAATCAGAGATTGGCAAAATCATCTTCCTCACAACAACACTACATAAAAAAAATACTGTGATTGCCCGTCCGCCTGCCGAGCGTGGCGCGAGCGGCAACTATGGCAAAATCCCCATTGTGAGGCAATAGCAATATATAGCATAATATATAGCAAGGGAGGCCTAGCCATCTAGCAGTGGACTTTATAGGCTGTAACCCTGTAATGGATGGAAAAACTTCCTTACAAACATATGCGTAAATATAATATTTCATTTACATATAAATATTTATGCATATTTAATATTATGCCAATTACGATAAAAAATTATCATGTACGTACATAATATACTTTAAAAAAGTACCACGACATAGGACTTATAGGAAAAAATACAGCCCCTTCAGTAAAATTTAGGGGCGTAGCTACCGCCGTATCAATGATACGGGGCCCCCGGGCTACAGAGGCCCCGAAAGTATGTAAGGAAAAATTTTATGGGACAGGATTTTGGTTTGAATAGCTTAGATACAAGGAGTATTCATTGTAAGTAATAAGTTATAATCAATATATGATTATTTTAATTAAATGCGAGTTTTTGTTCCTTTTATGAAAAATCTTTACCCTTCATTTGGGCCCCCCGACAAATTTTGATACAGGGCACACCTCTAAGGCACACTACTTCACTGGTACAATTTCAACTACTTTATAAAAGACAACACTTTCCTTTACTTCTAATATCAATAATGGAAAAATACCCCCCGGAGACAGCGCATCAATAAATATTTGAATTAAAAATCAGTCATCAAGAAGCTATTCGTTACAAAGCTGTTCATTTAGTTATTCAAATTTAAGGAGACGCTTGGTCGTGATGGTGAAAAATAATCTTGACGAGTTATCTGCGCATATTTTAGATAAGGATTTTGTAAAAATTTTTCAACCGGTGCATTTAATACAATATGTACTTGGGTCATTATATGTAAAAATTCAATATGGCTTCGCTACAAAATCATCTTCCAGATACAATGTGTTTAGTTTTTTTGTTTGGATTATTCATATACTGTCATTGACGATATTCGTAACATATTGTGAGGCGACGAGCGATTCTATGCTGACTGACTTTTATCTAAAACTCTATCATATATTGAATGGGTCAATTATAGTGATTATCACAATTAAGAATTTTTGCAAGGGAAATTTAAACAGTGAGTTATATGTGAAATTACAAAAAATCGATAGGGATATTAATATGAAAGATGCAAGGAAAAGTAATAAGCGTATGTTCATATTCTCGACAATTGTAGTGGTGATAAGTGTCGTTTTTACCATTATTTGGGCGATAGTTCTTAATAAGTATATCATGGAAGGATTTTGTCCCGTTGCTTTTATGGTACAACTTCCAGTTTTGAGTAACTACATGGATATTATTTTAATAGCCTACAAAATGTATTTTATGGTGATAAGATTTGAATACATAAATTCAATGTTGAAAGAGAAATTACATAGCAGCACTGGCGATACTCAATGTACAATCAAGCCTTTTGTAGTGAATGACGGTAATTCTGACCACGACGACAAATTATGGAACCGTCTCGTATTAACTGCACATGATACAATTACTGTGTGGAAAGAACTATTTAGTATTCATCAAATTACGGTAAGTTTTCTAGAACGCTTTTATAAGCCATTTTTAGGGTTCCGTACCTGAAAAGGAAAAAAACAGAACCCTTATAGGATCACTTTGTTGTCTGTCTGTCTGTCTGTCAAGACCCTTTTTCTCAGGAATGCGTGGAGGTATCAAGCTGAAATTCAAATACTCAAGTCTACTGTCCCTTGGAGCTGTGAAAAAATCAAACTTCTAAGTCAACGCAATCATAAGATACGACAGTTTATGCCGCAAATTTTCGACATTCGCAAGGGAATCAAAACCTACAGGGTACTTCCCGTGAACTCAGAATCTTAAAATGTGGTACGAAGCAACGTATTCAAGCACAGATAAAGGAAAAATTGCGAAAGGCATAAATTTTTAGTTATATCGTATAATAAAAATATTTTAAATAATTTTAAACTTATATACCTACGGATTTGTTCGGAACCCTCGGTGCGCGAGTCCGACTCGCACTTGGCCGGTTTTTTTCTACAGAATTATGTTTTTAGTATCTACTATTTTTTTTTGCCCTTTTGAGTGGAATATTCATCATCGTTGAAAAATTTTTTTTTCTTATAGAATAGGGGTGACAAACAGTACACATCCCATCTGTTGGTAAGTGTAAGTGGATGTTGTGGGCCCACAGACATCTACAAAATGTAGAATACGTTGTCACCCCTGAGAACTAATATAGAATGTCTCGTTTGCAGTAGCAGCAATAAGCTGATGTTTCTCTCTGGTATTGTGTGAGAACGTGGTTCTTCCCCAGCCAAGGCGACTCATTCCTGCTACAAGTATAATAGCTGCAGCGTGGGTCTATCACGTATAAAAAATTCCTCCATATTGATATGGGAGCAACGAGCACACAGTCAACCTTATGGTAAGTGATCGCTGTCACCCATGGATATCTACATTTATCCTCAATAAAGAATCCAAATGCAGATGCGTTGTCACCCATGAGGACTAAGATGGAATGCCTCTTTTCCAGTAAAAAGGGTCTCCAGTTTTCTACACTCACCATACGAAACACAGCAGTGTTAATCTGCTATTTTACGCTGGTATTCTGTGAGAGCGTGGTCCTACCCCGGTCGAGCCAACCCATTCGTGCTACAACTATACTACTAATATAGTTGCAGCATAGCTCTACCACGTAAATAAATAAGCATTCATTGAAATTGTTTGTAAAAATTGAAGATAGCGCGTGCCATACATACAAAAACATACCGTCGAATTGGAAATGTCCTTCCTTGAAATCTGTTAGTGCTGTGATACTTAGCTCTGTTATTGGTTATATGGCGAATGTGTGATAAGAGTAGGTAGTGATTCTTAAAGTTACAGCTTGTATACGTCCCACTGCTGGGCACAGGCCTACGCTCATTTCTGAGAGGGTTTTAGGACAAGGAAATATCCGCCGCGCTGCCCCAATGCGTGTTGACGAACTTCGCGTCTTCGAAATTTTTATTTCTAATTTCTCTGACATACAGTTTTCCTCACGATGTTTTCTTTCACCGCCAAGCACGTTGTAAATCAGTACTTGCATATATTAAAATTAGCTATTTCATTGGTGCTGGCGGAATCGATGGCTTCGCACGGTTGATTTCTGGACCTCGACAACAGCCAATACGAATCAACTTAATCACACAAAATTTAATCAAAATCAATCCAGCAGTTTAGGAGGAGTTCAGTCACATACACACAGGCAGAAAATATAAAGATAGGAACAACCCTAGTTGTACCCAATTAAAAAACAAACAATACCTACCTTATATTACTTATGTGACTAATAAGTAACCGTTTTCATGATAAAGTTCAGATTAATAAAAATTATGACCAAAAGCCAAAATACTGCATCATCCATCATTCATCATAATCATTCTATGCCATCAAAAATAGGTTGACCATCGCTATGATAATGGGTCTACCATTATTACAGTAAGTTTTTTTTAAATTTAAAGTGATGCCTTGCAAGTTACTACTATTTCATAGATAGCTGTATTCAGATGAAAATTATATTTTGCAGATCTTTGGCCTGACCTGCAAATTTATTATTTTGGACATGATTTTGGTGCAAAGTGTAATAACTATTATTAAAAACCAGGTGAGTTTATTTTCAAAACATACTACGATTTATTTAAATATAAATATTTCTAATCGTAAATGTATTTGTTTCAGATACCCATAAATATTTATTCAGTCGCAAGCGTGGTACCATTGATAATGAGTCTGTTCTTTATAGTGTTACTGTGCGTCATGGCGGAACTGCTAAACGCAAAGATGGAAAATTCGAGAAAACTTTGCGCCAATATTTTGTGCTTTAGTACTAGTATGTGCTGAAAATTTTTTTGACATTAGATTATTATTTTATACTAGCTGTTCCCCGCGACTTCACTCGCGTGTAATTTAGGGTTTTAATTATATTGCTCAGAACCCTAATTCTTTTCTCAGATATAAGTAGCCTAAGTTACTCCTTAGTCAGCTATCTGCCAGTGAAAGTCCCGTCGAAATCGGTCCAGCCGTTTCGGAGATTAGCCGGAACAAACAGACAGACAGACAGACAGACCGACAGACAGACAAAAATGTTAAAAATTATTTTTGTTATAAGTACCGTATATACTTTCATATGCATTTAGTAAAAAGCTGTTATTTTAACATTACAAACAGACACTTCAATTTTATTTATTTGTATAGATTTTCACCGTTATCGTAGTTAAAGAGGTCAGAAGTTTTTTTTCGACTTACCTGTATGCGCAGTACCACGTGTATAGGTACCCAGGTAAGGTCAGGCAAATAGTCATGTACCTGCTTATTGAGTGGACTGATACTTTTCAACAAAGTTTCGTGATGGATCAATCACTTCATGAAAAACGCGTCATGAGCTCTCCAACTCTGACCATAAGGGGATATCCAGGCGTTGTTTAGTCGTTACAAACGTATTTTTCACCCTAGATAATGAACCCACAGCCCCGTTCCTTTCTTCCATAAATTAATTCTTTTAAAACCTAAGACAGGTGGCAAGGCATCTGCATTTTCATTCGCAAACGACGATAGATGTAGATGTCTATGGGCCGCAGCAACCACTTACCATCAGGTGGACTGTGTGCTCGTTTGTCACCCTTATCCTATTAAAAAAAAATTACGAGTATACCACCGTTACTAGACATGTAGCTAACAAATTTAACGAACATAAAAATTAAAGAAAAACATGCAGGCACAGCCATAATCCTTCTTATAATGTTCATGAAAAAAAGTCAGTTCAGTTTTGGAGGAAACAGGGGATGATGATTTCGTCAACTTTTCAATGGTACATATTTACATTGTATTATCAGTCCAGAGTAGCGTTGCCAGGCGAACGGATAAAGCCGGACACAGACAGGCTTTTTGGTTGTCTGTCCGGCTTTTGTAAGGCTTTTTAAATATGATGTCATGTGTTGGTTTCCGCTTCGCCCACCTCACCTTGTATCTCTAACGCAAGCAAATAATTACTAAATATACTAAATATAATTAAACTTTAAATTAATTGTAACTTTTTGTTACAATTAATTTAAAGTTTATTTAGTTCATTACTGTTTTGTTTCATTTTGTTTGTCATTGAAAGTTGGAAAATAGTAAGTAGGTAAGGTTCTTTACATAAGTAAAGAATGATAATGAAAAAAGGACTGGTTCATTAAATTTTATTGTTATTTCATAAGAATCTAAGAAGATTTTAATTACAGTTTTGTTTAATTTTGTTCTCCATTGCAAGTAGTACGGTAAGAAATGAATGATAATTATTAAGAAAAAAAAACTGTTTCGTTAATTTTATTACTTCATTAAAATTTTAGTAGATTTTATGGCAAATTAACGTTTTATTTTCCATGCAAAGTGCAATAGTTACCCCTAAATATTATTGCAATTATTGAAATTAATATTGAATGATTAATAATTAAGAACACCAATTCAATTAATTTTATTGTTGTATCATTGGAGAGACCCCCCACTAGATGGAGTGACGACCTGGTAAGACATGCAGGAAGTTGATGGATGTAGGTGGCTCAGGACCGTACTTTGTGACATTCCTTTGGGGAGGCCTATGTTCAGCAGTGGACTTATGAAGGGCTGTAATGATGATGATGATGATCATTAGAGTTGAAGATTTTATGGCAAATGTTAAAAACTCCACTTTAATAAAAAAAATAGTTTTTGTTAAAAGATTATAACTTTTAACAAAAATTAAAAACCGACTTCAAATTGCTAAAAAGAAGTTATTTATTTGCTACCCAAATAATAATACCAAAGAATATTTTCTCCAAATTTATATGAGACCACTCTTGAACGTATTTAATAAAAAAAAATCATCAAAATTGGTTCACAATCTGCGAAGATATCTCGTAACATACATACAAAAAAACATACACTCGAATTGAGAAGTCCTCCTTTTTCAAGTCGTTTAAAAATTAAGGCTGTCCGGCCTTTTTACCCAAATGTCCGGCTAAACTTGTTGGTCTGTCCGGCTTTTCGGTTTTGAGACCTGGGAACCCTAGTCCAGAATCGCAGTTGTCTCTCTCGGTTCCCATCCGTTACAGACTAAAAAAGTCCACTGCTGAACATAGGCCTCCCTCATAGATTGCCTCAAACGGGTATTATGCCAAAGTTGATATTTTTATTCATATCAGGAAGATGCTGCTGTCCATCTCCTGTTACAGTTTCCCTCCGGCGCCTCTTATGACACCCATTGGTAACGATATGGGGTAGCAGATACTAGATATTCTTACACCGCCAATACACGGTTGATATCTTATCTTACCCTATTATTTAAACAGGAAATTAAAATGAAATAAACCACATTGTACTACCACCATAATGTAATAACTTAGTACAACACCCCACCTCATCTCTTGATTGTTGCAAGAGATATCTAATGTAAAAACAAAGAAGTTCTTGTAGCCTCCGATTTGTGGGTGATGGATAATAACCATCCTGTATTTATACCATGTATAAAATTCCCATCCTGGCGGTCAAGAGTGTGAAACGCCAGCAGACTTCCTGCCAAGCTTTGCGATAACGAGAAATCCCCTTTACCTATAACAGAGGCCCAACGTACATGGATTGCCAATATATAGGACACTATAATAGACTTAAAATTAAACTCAAATCAAATTAGTTTTAGATTATTGATAGCTATCATTGTCATTAAGTGGGCAATTTTCTCTTGGGCCTTAATAGCTACTGAATTGTTAATGCACTGAAATCTAATTTTCGTCGGCTGTTGTCATTGTGTTTTTAATCTTTATTAAAATTATATGTCGTATTTGCCAAAAAGCATAACAATAGTTCGCGTTTGATAATAATGAAAGAAAATACATCACCCCATCACATCCTGTGCATGTCGTAAGAGTCGGCTATGAAATGTGCAATGAAGATATGGCCTCCAATAGCTGACGACAAAACAAACTCATAAGCAAGGTGTAAATAGTCAGACTAGTGACTAAGAGCACATCAAAGCCACGAGATATGGTAATAAGACCGCCAGTTCACTGTGGCGTGGCGATTACTGGAAATCATACTAAAGGGAAACTTGCCCAGCATTGGAGCTGATGATTAAGAAACAACAATTATTACAGTCAAAGTTAACCCTAGTTTGATTCAGCACACAACTGATTTACAATGGTAAAATGGTAAAAAAAGAATAAATATATAGAAAAGGATGCAAACGGACGTACAGCTCACCTAATATCATCATCATTATCATCATTACAGTCCTTCAAGGAATGCCACAGACGGTCCTGAGCCACCTGCATCCATCGACCTCCTGCATGTCTTACTAGGTCGTCACTCCATCTAGTAGGGGGCCACCCTACACTTTGCCTGCCGGTACGTGGGTGCCACTCGAGAACCTTTTACCCCATCGGTTGTCGGTTCTTCGAGATATATGGCCGGCTCATTGCCACTTCAGCTTACTAACCCGTTGGGCTATGTCAGTCACTCTGGTTCTACTGCGGTTATCCTCATTTCTAAGTTTATCACGCAGAGAAACCCTGAGCATAGCCCTTTCTATTGCTCGCTGAGCGACCCTGTGCTTCCTCATTTTTTTTATAGGATAAGGGTGACAAACGAGCACACAGTCCACCTGATGGTAAGTTGTTGCTGTGGCCCATAGACACATAGACATTTATCCTCGATTACGAAACAAAATGCAGATGCTTTGTCACCCGTGAGGACTAAGATGGAATGCCTCGTTTCCAGTAAAAAGGGTCTCCGGTTCTCTACACTCACCATACGAAACACTGCAGCATTAAGCTGCGATTTTACGCTGGTATTCTGTTAGAGCGTGGTATTTCCTAGGTCCAGCCGAACCATTCGAGCTAAAACTATACCTATTTGCGCTAAATGTTAATTTTTAAAACTGCTTTACGAGCGCGCGCGTTCGACGGCAGGGGTCAGGTCAGGTTACATGTATATACACTTTCGCACACCACTTTACATACACCTCACTTATCACCTGACTGGTACCCTGTGGTCAACCCTACCTCCGGAGATTGGTAAGTGCTTGCTTATTTGTCAGCCGTTTTTGAACATTTATCCATAGGCCATTGGGCCCCGTCCTCTGTTGCTCGTCGAGGAGGCTACTATGGGCCCTATCCCATTCGACCTTTGCCGGGGCAGCTAAGAGCGTGAACAAAAGTTCTAAGAATATATAGTATAGTCTAAAGATATAGCTACATTATGGCTTTATCGCGTGCTGTAGTGCTAATATAGTATAATATAGTCTAATTCAATTCCGATCTAGTATCATTTAAAAAAGTAAGTAAGTGATACCCACATTTCATTTCGTTATTTCTAACATCCACAGGGACATCTCGGCATAATATCAAGCGTTTATTATTACTGCTGGAAATAGAAAGAAAAATATCTATTTACGACATATATATATTGGACGCTCAGCTACCGTTCAATCTGTTCGCTATCACCGCAACATACACAATAGTTCTTCTGCAGTTTGCTTTGATATAAACAATGAGGACTAAATGTGGGTAGGCAAAAAATTAAATAAAATCATAAACAATAACAAATATTTTTCATTTCGTATAAAGATTTAAACAGAATTTAAGAATAAATATGTAGAATTATGTTTGACTTAGGACGTGCATTATATTTTCACAAATTTACTAATTTATAGGTTCATCTTCATCATCTCCTATAAATAGTTCGTTAGCACTATAACTTACGCTTAACATTGAATAAAACTACTTTTACGGATTTTATCACGTTTAATTAAGTTATTTTATATTCCCGACGTTTCGGTTGCTTTCCAGCAACCGTGGTCCCGGGGGACTGAGGTGATTGACGTCCCGATGTCAAAGTTAAGGGGCTACTCCATGCGAACGACCTTGAGCATTTGGTGTGCCGCGCCGACTCGCTACAATATAATATCACGTAAGAAATATGTAAGGCGCCACCTACTGTAAGAACGTAGTATTTTTTCAACATCAATAAACTATTTTATGGAAATACACACAGCGTACAACGATAAATGTATCTCAAATTTTTTATTCGGTATATTAGTTGCATTATATTAGAGTTATGTATTCTCATATAATATTATCTAATTATGAAATTTTATAATTAATTATATATTAAAAATGAAGCATTGAAAATTGTGAGTTTAAAAGATACCTACTCACTATAGGTAAATAGATAGATAGCTCGCCTTTTGTACAAATATTTGGTGCAATAAAGAATAAATAAATAAATAGGATGTTTCGCAGAGTGAGAGTAATATAGAATGAGAGTCGTTGAGGCAGTTTACAAACATAAATTGCACAAGGACAAACATCCAGACCCGGAACAATTATTTGTAGGCCATACAAATACTTGTTCCGTGCGGGATTCGAACCCGCGGCCCCCAGTGCAGCAACTGATTGCTAAGCCAGTGCGCCACGGAGCCGTCGCCGGTTTATAGCTAAAGTGACCATACGTCCCGTTTTGAACGGGACTGTCCCTTTTCTCAGTCACCTGTCCCATTGTCCCCAAACAAAGCTCCGGGACACAAAATTGTCCCGTAACTCGTTGGATGGAAGTATTCAAAGTCAACAATCTTCAACATAATTTTTTTTAATCGAATATATTTTATGTCTCCCTGGTACAAATGCTCCAGTAGAAAGAATATTTTTTTTATTTTGAACAAATTGTGGACTGAAAGAAACACTTACGGTTCCAGTTCTAAAGGCGATGTTGTTAACAAAGGTAACAATAAAAAAACTTAAGCAGAATTTTATTCTTATTTAAAATTATCACCAACTTTATTAAAGCAAATTTAATCCACTGACAAATGTAATTAATAATTTAAAAAAATATGTTGCATTTAATAATTACCGTCTATACCGAATATAATTTTATATTGAACACTAATTGTGTAAAGTTATAGTTTTTAGAGTGTAAATAAACCCATGTCCTGTTTTGAGTTAAAAAATAAATGGTCACTTTAGTTTTTTTAGTTAAATTTAGTTAAAAAAAATTTTAGTTTATAGTAAAAAGTAGGTATATTAATACCTACTTAGATACTTTTTACCGAATTAGGGTAGAAGCCCCTAATACCAGTCATGCCCCTAATTGCAGTCTTTTCGCCTTTTTACTCCATAAATAAGATTTCTAGTAGTCTTAACTACAAATATTTTCATCTAAAAATTTCTTTGTACCTAGAGGAAACTATATTTATTCAAATATTACCTCGCAGTTTTAAACCTAACAGTGTTAAAATCAAAACAGGTACGCAACGAAAAACGATCATTTTCCTAATTATTTGACAAGTTATGATCCCGGTAAAATTATGCTTACTTTACATTATCTCATATATAGGCTTTTTGATTTGTATGAATATGACTATAGACATATTAATGCAGTTATTTTTGTTTGAATTTACAACTTATTTATTTTCTTTTAGTGAAAATTAATGGGACTGTAATTAGATAATATAAGACATGTATGGAGTGCATAATGTCAGCCGCCCGGCTGTTATTTGGTTTGACGTACCTAATAAGATGTACCTAATTTCAGCCACGTAATATAAATCAGAGCTGCCATAAACTGGAATAAATACCATTAATTAGATCATAACTTATTTTATAGCTAAGGGAGTTATGATCAATTCGTCTGTTTTAAAATTGGTTTTAGATTTTAAAGTTTAGCAAAAGACGTACTAGCTTTTCTCTCTGACATTCGGCGTATAGAACATCTATATGTACCATAACATCTTATGTACTCAATTATTTTTTTTTTTGAAAAAGAAGAAAATCTAGCAATAAATAAAAACAAAAACGGGCCAAAAACTCATAACTGATTTTTAGACAAGACCCGGGATGCGAAACCGAGACCACATGAACAGCACTCGCACTACTACAACCACTAGACCAACGAGGCGGTACTATACCTAATAAGATATTGTGGTTGGGTGATAATATTGAATTAGCCTTTTATAGTGTAAATTATAATATTTGTCGAAATTTTAATTATGGATTCGAACCTTACATGCTAATGGTGCTTAATTTTTTTATTTGCATTTACTTCAAAGAAAATACACGCAAAAAGCTTCATCGCGCAGTAAAAAACACAACAAATATATGTATAACTAATACGAAAAATTATACCCAAAACAAACAAATAATACTACCTATAAATAACCTAATAAGTAATATTATTATCGACTAATACGACGTGAGTGTATGTGCTGGTCGACGCTCTAACGACACGGGCTTCGCGTCGAAGAGCTCAGGGCTGACTGACTTCAGCAAGCCCGTGAGCAGTGAATATGCCCAGATTTTAAAATAAATTCTTAATAAAATCAAATTTTGGTCTTTTGAAAAAAAATTTACTATAGAAATGTTCATTAATAAATTGCCTATCCATTGGTGTAAATCGCAAAATAAAATAATACTTACTTTACGAGGAGATGCATGTTATCAATAATAATTTTCACATTTATGTGGTTTCGTTGTAAGGAGATTATATTAATATTTATTCCTTTAAAAAAAAATTGGATATAGCTTTTATGGAGTCAAGATTATGCAGAAATATAATGTGTTTTTTATTTGTTGATATATCTTTTAAATAAAAAGTAGATAGCTCCTAAAAACAGCACAAATAACGACTAGCGCGACATTTTGCTCAACCTGCGCCTTAACCCGGAGTACCTTCAGCTTTTTAATTATTAATTTTGACCCGATCTACGCAGAATGAACTGTGTCTTGAAGTCTTGCAGTGGTATGCTTGGGTTCAGTTTTAATTTTATGAATTACAGGATCCCAAGCAGGTGGTAGTACCCAGCCTCCCTCTCTATTGAAATTAGGATGTTTTTTTTAATTTCAATAGCCTCACGTATCATCCTTGGCAGGAATCGATGTTCTTTCGCGAGAACTTGTGGTTTATCAAATCTAATGTAATGGCGGGGGCCGTCTAGGAATGATCACAAACTGCAGACTTCCCGGAACGTTGGTGCTTCACGTCAGCTATGTGTTCTTTTACGCGGGTTTTTATTGATCGTTTTGTTTGCCCTATATATGAGAGACCACACTCACAATTAAGCTTGTATACTCCTGCATCTTGTAGAGGAATATTGCACTTGACGTATGGTAAGAACTGACTAATCTTCTTCGGCGGCTTGAAGAATGTTCTAATAGAAGCTCCCTTCAAGATGTAGCCAATCTTGTCTGTGACACCTCTGACATATGGTAGTACAGCAGGCACACGCTCGACTGTGGCCGGCTTCACTCGGTCACTGTGACGTAGGTGCGGAGCCCGAAGCTTGTTGTCGTGCAGAACCTGCTTGACGTGCTGAAGCTCGGCGGCCAGGTGTTTGCTGTCACAGATCCCTCCTGTCCTGTCCTTGTTGCAGAGAGCACGTCAGTCAATCTTTCCGAATGACTGATGCCAAATCTGTGAAAGATTTTACCCAGGACGCTGATGATATTGATGGCTCCGATGCTGCATATCCTTATTGTGACGAATTTAAAGGCAAATCGAAAAGCCAGGAGAGCATTGGGTGATTATTTAGAGTAGATTTATTTATTATCACCTTTGAATTTTCAGATATTTGTTTTTTAATAAAAAATATGGCATCTTAAGCACAATTACCCTACGTACTTATTCAAATTGATAGCGCTAAATATAAAAAATTATACTGAGCCCTACCAGTCAGGATAACTAATAAGTCTAATCGAAGTGTAACAACCAAACCAATTTCGGTTTATTAAAAAATAATTGACCGCATAGTGCAGGTGTAAGAAGGATGTTATGTCCCGTGGCCCGTGAGTGTCTTAAGGGGCGACACGACCAGTCTTCGCGCATGCGCGACTACTACTCCCGCGCATGCGCGAAGACATTGAGTAGGACACAATTTTGGTTTGGAATGGCTTCTCTAGTACGTAGTACATATAACTCAATGGAAAATACACAGTATATTTTTTGATAAATTTATTATTTTTACTTTTCATCTTATATTCAGATCAATTAATATAAAAGTGTAATGAAAAATCTATTTAATATGTACATATACAAATCTAACAAACAATGGACGGAATAAAGACTTAAGATAAAAAAAAAAAACATAAATATAAAAGAGCTTATTATAGTTTACACAAAAATTTAATCTCGAAATTTATTTATTTATAGGTACCTTATTGTTTAGGTGTAAGTATAACCTATATCAAAAGGTATAAAGTACAGGACGGACTTAATTATAAATAATGATATACCATTTTGCACTTTATTATATAATATTAACATATATATATACTAGCTGGCCAAGCCGAAGTTGTTCTGCCCTTTTTGACGACCCTTCATATAAAAAATCCTTAAATTCGTATTTAATAAAATATTGAGTGTCACTTATCAGGATAAAAACTATCCTATCTCTTAAGTTTGACCAAACTGCACAGAGTGTGCAAAATTTCATTGAAATCAGTTCAGCAGTTTAGGAGTTCATCGCGGACCAACAATGTGACACGTAATTTTTATATATAAAGAAGATTATTTATTGATTGCGTGCGCAGTAAAATCAGTTAAAATAATTCATTACCACACATTTTGAATTTAAAAGTTAAAAAAAACAGAATATTTGAGATTTTTTAAATTAATTTCTTTTTTCACCATTTGCCTACATTACTTATTCTAGACCTTTACAAATTCGGCCGGTTATCGTTTTAAATTTGGGAGAGTTATATTGTTTAATTAGGAATGATATTGATGATTCATTGAAATTGAATGATATATCTTTCTACTAAATTTATCGGTATGATACGCTCGCGCCACCTAGTGTAAATTAATTGTACTATGCATATAATCTTCGTGCAAGGGCAAGCAATAGGTTGACAAAGTTTTACTGCAATCTGATGAACGGTATGGCAGCGCATAAAATACGAACAAACAAATATTAATTTATATATATTAGATAAACTTAAAGTACCTATTATTTTTTCATTCTTATACAACATACAAATAAACACATTTTTAAAATGAGACACGAGTAGGTTAAAATAAATCTAACAAACAATCTACAAATATCACAATACTAATTATAATTGTGTGTATTTTACTTGATAAATGTCGTGCAATTTTACGTTCATATTACTGTCGTAAATTACTTAACTAACACTCAGACCAAAAATTAGTTATTTTTAAAACCATATTTAACTCAGTTGTATTACAACATAATATACAAACAATATTTTCATTTATACTTATGAATAGTTATGTCAATTACAATAACCTAATTGCAAATGCCTGGCTAACCATAGGTATGTTGCAGATCGGTGGTTTATCAGTCTGTGAATTGGATCGCTATTTATTTTGTTAATTGCCAGCATTTAAATAAATGCCTTATAAAAGCTTAGCCAAATGTCCCAGCATAATGCTTATAAAAGGATTAGAAATATTTAGCTCTTGTGTTAAAGAAATTATTAGTTTAAGGTGAAGTTGAGTTCTAACTTGTTTAAAATTTAATTACATTTGAACAAATTAATGTATTTTGTTGCACATAATTTCAAATAGCACTAATGATAAGATTACATCAACTATTGATCTAATCCTATAAAAGGAATGTTAGTACTATAGTGGTAGAAAAAGAAACCAAATAGAAAGGTCATAGTGGCTATTAGTTCAGCTATATCAAAAGCCAAAAAGTTTCAGTTAGCCAATAAGTTAATGTTATACATATCATTGTAATTAGACTATGAAACTAGGCGTTTACCCTATGTCGATTTTAACAGCAAACTTAACCGTCATATTATGAGGCTGATTAAATAATCGAGCTGCAACAGCTACAATACCTTCATCCACCTTCAATTTAACCACAGTTACTACTAACTGTCAAGTGTGATATGGGTAGATTTCAAAGACATTTAAGTAGTAGTAGTAATAGACCGGACATCAGTTGCAAAATTGTCGTCTGTAACTTATGTCCTATAGGATATATCTCCGATTTTTGTCATTTAGTCTTAGTGACATCGTCAAAAAGTCAAGACGTATTCGTTTCATATATTTAAAAAATATTTTTAAAGAAAATATGCCAGGTTGTGCATTAAGATATTGTAAGTCACGATATGGAACAAAAAATGAATGTGATATCGGTTTATTATCGTAAATATAATTATATTTAATTATAATAATATATATTTACCGAATAATCTTTAAATTTTATTATTTCTAGTAGATTGTTCTAGAACATTTATTTTTATTGTAATAAGCGCCCTCTGTTATCCAGTAAACGTCACTATTTAGTTACCAATTTTAATTATAAAACAATCATGTATATTTCCTATTATTATATCGAAAAGCATTTCAAACTTGTAATCTTCAACAACATTATCGATACTTTGATATTAAAACGGTAACATTCCTAAAACGAGGTTATATTTATTATCATCACCTACTGGGGAATAGTTAAAATGTTGTCTTAATAAATGCTTAGTGTTGTTTTGCTATTTTTATCTAGAGGGTGCCACACGCGCACTAGCTCAAAGTTTTTGTATATAAATGTTCCCAACGTCCGCTCTATAGTATACCTATATATTTAAACCTCTTCGGTAGATTTAACAGTGCCCATCATTTGATTATCCCTTAATCGCTAAAGATTTCAAACTGACATAATAAAAGTAAATAACTATAAGAATAATAATATAAAGAAATTAAAAAACAATAAAAGCGATTTTTACATAAAAAGTTATGGAAGTCCACTAAGTTTACAAAAAGTTTCAGCACCGAGTACCAATTTGAGTTTAAATTAGTACAGACAAAAAATTATTACATCTGAATTAACATAGTTAGTATCATGTACCCTCTGGTAGAAATGAATCTCTCAAAACAAATGTTAACACTGATAGATATCAGCGAAACTGCATGACAAAGAAATATGTGTGTAATTCGGTATTGCATCGTTTTTTATTTTTCATTTGTCAGATTATAAAATATTGATATTCATTTTTTCACAAGCACTATCCTAATAAAAAGTTTTGATATTGCTTAATTTTACAAGGTTTAGAAACAAATATAGCTTGACAATTAGGATCCTTTAACAATAGTCAGTTTAAGTCTATTTATTTGGTTATACATGAATGGCCTTTTGTATATTTGATTTTTATTGCATACCTATTGTCAGTCTCAGTCCAATTTGCAGTACATGACTGGCTATCAAGGAAACAGTTTTGTAAGTAATAGTACAATTGACAATGCTAGACTGACAAATGAATTTGTAACGGCTGATGCACTGTTACATCGATGATCAAGAAAGCACATGCACCATATAGTCTCGTCATACCACTCCCTAGAAAATAACAGAAAAATGATTAGTATCAATTGTAATTACCTGGTAGTCATACTGCAGCTATATTATGGTTGTAGCACGAATGATCATCTCAACTGGGGTAGGAATACAGTAATTCACAGAATACCATAAAATAGCAGCATAAAATACACAAAATAGCAACTTAATTCTGTTGTTTTGTATGGTGAGTGTATAGAGCCAGACCCATTTTAATAGAAACAAGGCACTCGATCTTAGTCCTCAGGGATGACAATGCATCTGCATTTAGTTTAGTAATTGAGGATACATGTAGATGTATATGGGCCACAGCATCCACTTATCATCAGGTGGACTGTGAGCTCGTTTGTCACCCTTATTCCAAAAAAAAACAATAAATTACTACCCAATACTAATACTTTAATAATTTTTGTAGGACATAACAGAAAAAAACTCCACCACCTTTTTACCACATAAAGTAACACAATTCATATTATATTTTATATGCAATACACAGATTTGTCTCACTTTTTCTATGCCCAAACCCATTTGGTGTGTTATTGTAGGATAGTTCATTGTCAGTCAAAGATACGGAGTTAATGATAATTTGCATCTCAAAATTATTCTGAACGTCTAAATTCTGAACCTATTCTGAAGTTTGTATCTCAAAAATATTAGATCTAGGTTGCCTGGCTGTTCAAATATTGTTTAAACATAGGAAAAAATATATTAATAGGCAGATATGTTGATCACTAAACCATTAACAGAGTTATTGATGCTTTTAGTAAAGTAAAATTCTAATATACCTTTTTACATCAAGTTCTTTTATTGAATTGTTCACATAATTGGCCAGGTTTACATCTTTGGCAGCTGGCCTACAGCCCTCATAGGTATCAGCAGGTATATCAGTACGGAATGGTTTAAAATTGCTTAAACAGTCCCTTGTTATTACTTCTTGAGCTATAAAAAATTTGATAAATATATTACTTTAGATGAGTATAACAACCTTATACATTAAATTATGGTAGTTCCAAGGCAAGCCTTCAATTTCAATATATGCAACCTAAGTGTAATCCATGTATTAGTGAAAATTTTAATTGCAATTAAAGTGCCGATTTATCATGTATAAAGTGATTACCAAAAACAAGAAAACTGCATAACAGAGAAGCAAAAATGTAAGCTGTATAGCTACAGCTTTAATGAGTTTACTTGTCCAGGGAAGGACTATGCTACAACAAACTGCCAACATAAAATAGCAGAATAGTAGTAAAAATTCAATTCATCTACATTTTAATTCTTAATTCAGAATAAATGTAACTGTCTATGGTCTCTACATCTTTACCATCAGGTTGACTGTGTGATTGTTTGTCACTCTAACTTGTGTTGTAACTCCTGAAAGAGCACAGGAGAATCACCTTTCACTATATACTAACCATAAAATAGCATCTTAATACTGTTTTGTTTCGTATAACAAGTGTAGAGAACTGGAGACCCTATTTACTGGAAACTGGGTATTCCATCTTAGTCGTCAGGGGTGATCACACATCTGATCCTTAATCAAAGCACTAATGTACATGTCAAGGGCCACAGCATCCACTTAACATCAGGTGGGTTGTGTGGCATATTGTGTAAAGACACTTAAACTTTCTAAAGCAGAATTTTTTACAAGTAAAAGTAGAAAAATCAGGATTTGTTTAGCTAAAAGTAGGTTATAGGTTTAAAGCAAAAGAGAGTATTCAAGTAATATAAGTAAGGACCACACTCACAGAATGCCAGTGTAAAATAGCAGCTTAATGCTGCTGTTTCGTTGGTCAGTGTAGAGAACCGTAGACCCATTTTACTGGAAAAGAGGCATTCCGTCCTAGTCCTCACGGCTGACATTGTATCTGCATTTTATTCACAAACTAAAATGTCCATGTCTATAGGCCACAACAATTACATTAATCAATTGTATCTTCTTAACCAGTTGTAGCTATGGCATATTTTTTCTAATATACTATAATATTTGTGTTACTGGTTACATATTCATTGCATAAAAGAGTATTTTACATTATGGATTAATCAAAACTCATACAAAAAAAAAATCCTTGTGATATATGAACATAAATATAAGTGTATAATCTTCTATCCATAATTAATCAATGATACTTTGGAAAGCACTTACCTCCTTTTCTCTCAATCAATTTTACACAGACATCTTCACTATCGACGCAAGGACTTCCTAAATAACCAATACCTCGCCAGTTAAAGGGTTCATTGCAACCAGGAGTGGCTGCTGTACATTGGTAACACCATATTGCTAAACCTGCTATAAGTTCACAACGTTTAAACATGAATCTTAAAAAAAGTGAAAGAATAACCTACAAAATTAAAACTTTCGTGACTTAACCTACAAATCTTAAATATAATTGGGTGATTATGGTGATACAATATTAGTAAAAATTTGTAAATTTCGTCCTTATGAACTGCTATTTAAAATATACGTTACAACTTACAACTGAACCACACCCTAATAACATTTTGTTAAAATTTATTGTTTGAGATAACATATACAACTTACAGTCACTAATAGAAGACACAATCAATAATATAAGTTGAATTTTCATTTCCATTTTCTTAATTTCAATACATATAATTAAAATAGAAGTTTGTTTGTTTTGAGATTTTGAGATTCAGTTGTTGTTGTTGTTTTTATTATTCGCTCGAGAGAGCAGGCAAAGGAACTAAGCCATACAGCCTTTTCTTTTTATTTTGAATATATAGAATTTTAGAGTGTAAAGGCCGGAACCAAGTCTTATTTTTCTTCTTTCCATCTCTTCAAAATCCATAAAGGCCGTAGTCAAGTCCTATTTTCTTTAATTCTTCATATTTTCAAAAACCCGTAAAGGCTAAAGCCAAGTCTTCTTTATATTATTATACTCTTTGTAAGTTTCAATCCATGTTTGTCAATCCAATATTTTTTTTTTTGGAGTTTATGGCCTGGTATCTAGACCTTTAGGCCAAGTCTTAAGTATTTTTATTCGGTTTATTGTAATTTCCCCACTCCTTCATAGTATACTGCTTCACAATATGTTGATGCGTCACATTGTGCAGTTCTTGGGAGATTTTGGCGGCAATTTGATCCAGCAGACAGCTGATAGTTGGCGATGGTATCTAAAGGTGCCTATGCAAACAAACAGCTTATCTTGAGAATCCATCACCATCAGAGCACTTGTTTCACTGTTTCCACTAATAGTTCACATGCGTAGACACTTAATACACAAAATCGCAACACTTTTACTTATCAAAGTCCACTTCAAACCATTATTTAAACAATAATACAGGAGCAGCAAACCGCCGCCGGTCAATTTCCCGCCAAAACTTGTCAATCCAATATTTTCAAAAACAGGGATACCATATTTCATATTTCTTTTACAGTATTATGAACAAAATTGCAAAGTGCTAAATATGTCTTAGTATTCCTAAGAACATCTTGCAGGGCATGCGGGACGCTTTCTGAGTTTTCATAAACTTGTATAAGTTTTTCAATGAGTAGCAATCTTTCTATGGCGTACGCTGGGCAGTTAAATATTATATGTTCTGCACTCTGATCTGCTTCTGTATCGCAGAAATTGCATGTTGCAGATGCTACTATTCTCATCCTGGAAAGATGAGCGTTCAGTCGATAGTGGCCAAATGTAAGTCTGCACATTATTGTATAAAATTTTCTGCTATGATATCTTCGCATATCGTTGCGAGAAAACCAAGGAATACTTAATTCGGAATTAATTGATGCATACCAACGACCTTTTCCTGCCTCTAAAACAGCATTCCATTGCATTTTCCATTCTTCTTTTAACTCTTGCTTTAAAATTGAATATAAATCTGTATATGGTATTGCAACATCGGTTATTCTGTCAATATCAGCTGTAACTATACTTTTAGCTAAATGGTCCGCTCTTTCATTTCCTTGAACCCCAATATGTGACGGAGTCTATAAAAATTTTACTTCCATATTATTTTCTTTCAATTTCCACCACAAACTTTTGATTTCATATATGATGAAAGACGTTTTAGAATCTAAAGCTCTTGCCTTCAGTGCCTTCAGGACACTCATGCTATCAGAGATCAGTAACCATTTATTAGACACATGTGAGTGTTCTTCTATATATTTAAGAGCGATTAAGACAGCACAACATTCTGCAATGTATATGCTTGCTAATGCAGGAATGGAAAGGCCACGTCCAGTTTTCAGATGAGGTATGTAAAATGCACAGGCTGCTTTATTTTCAACTTTTGAACATATCATCATATGTATATCATCATATGTAAATATAAGTTTATAAACATCTTCTTTTCTTTTCAATTTTTCATTAATATTTATGTGTATATCACTGAATTTACTTTCATAATTCCCCTTATAACAAGGCCAAGTATGTGTGCTTTTGTGAATATTATATTGTTCATCATATCGTATCACTTCATGAAAGTCATGGAGTATATATGGGGCTGAGTTAGATATAGGAGACATACTATTATAATAAAATAATACTTTTTGAAAATGAGGATGATGAGATAAAGAATTAATATTTAATAAAAACCTAAATTTCAGATATTTAAACCTAAGTAAGATAGGAGGAGTAAGACATTCAGCCTGTAAAGAAACAATAGGAGTTGTTCTCAAAGAGCCGGTAATAAGTCTTAAATTCTTATTTTGTACATTTTCTAATTTGTTTACTAGTTTTTTATTTGATGCAAAACAAAGAAAGCCGTACTCAAAATGGCTCCTCACCAAAGACTTATATAACATTAATAATATTTCTGGATCAGCTCCCCAGTTAGTACTAGCCAAAGCTTTTAATACATTAAAGGCCTTAGAAGCTCTGTCTGAAATAGAATTCACGTATTTGGTCCAAGATAAATTATTTGTAAAAATTACACCTAAGAATTTTGCACAACTTTCTATTGGTAAAAATATATTATTATAAATTATTCTAGTGTTAAATGGACGAATTTTATTAAATATTACGACTTTACTTTTCTCAGTACTAATATCTAAATTTGAGTATGAAAAGTAAATGTGCAATTTCTTTAAAGCCTCATTTAAAGTGGTTACCAAGTTTTTGACATTTGTTCCTGAGGCATATATGACCAAATCATCTGCATATTGTAAATTAGTAACATTTGATCCTAAAATATTGTTTAATTTAAATATGTATAAAATAAAGATAACAGGACTTAATATTCCTCCTTGACAAACACCTTTATAACTGAGCCTAGGACCAATAATTTTATTATTATTATTAACTTTAGCAAAAACTCTTCTTTCATGTAAAAAGTTAAATATCCATTTTACAATTTTTTCAGGAATGGCCAAAGACCTCAACTCTGCGGCGAGTACATGAAGATTGACGTTATTAAATGCACCAACAATTACAAAGAATATACTAATTAATACTTCTTTATTTTCCATAGCTTTAAAGATGTCTAAATGTAGAAATGCAATACTTTCTCTAGACGGCGTCTGAATCCAAACTGATTTGATGGTAAAAGACATTTTTTTTTCTAGATAAAATTCTAATCTAGATTTTATAAGTTGCTCAAATATTTTACCCATACAAGATGTAAATGCTATAGGTCTGTAAGATTCTGCAATGTGAGGGTTTTTTTCCAGGCTTTAAAATGGGTATCAAATAATCTTCTTTCCAATCGTTAGGAATTAGTGAATGAAACCATAACATATTATATATTTACAAAACTAGTTCTACACACAGTATTCATATTTTTTAAAGCTTTATATGGAACAGAATCTAAACCACAAGTAGTGTCTTTTCTAGAGTTAACAGCTGAGTTGAATTCGGTCAAGGTAAAAGGTTTGGTAGGATAATCACAATGATTATCATTTGAGGAGTTAGGGGTTAGAGGTGGTTCATCTGTTTCTGGAGTATATTTTTTCAAAAATTCATTAGCCCAATTAGAATCTATGACAGATGTGTTATTATGAACAAAAGTTTTGTTAAACTTTTTAATATAATTCCATACTCTAGTCAATGGAGTAGATCTATTAAAAGTTTCACATAGTTTTTTCCAGTTAAGATGTCTTTCAGTCTTCAGAGTAATTTTTTTAACAGCTTATAGTCTTTTAAAATTAATATAATTTCGTTCTGTGGGATCATTCTAAAATACTAAATATGTATTTTTACAATTTAATACAGCCTCTTTGCATTTTAAATTCCACCAAGGTAGAGAATTTTTCTTTTTAATTCTTTTAAAAGATTGCAAGGTGATGTTAACATTTCGTTTAGAAGACTGATTGGATGGTGTGGATTCATGCATGGCTTGTTTAACTAGTTCTATTAAGTCTGTATAACATTGTAAAGGATTATTATAATCAAAACTATAATTTTTAATTAAATTATCTATTAAATTTATATATTTTGACCAATCTACCAATTTTAAGTTTATGTTATTTGATACAGCTGTTTCTTAAAAATTTTGACTATTTACCGTAATTTTTATCTTTACATAGCTGTGATAGCTGCCTAGAGAATCATCATCACATACTTGCCACTCACAAGACAGAGCCAGTGAAGATGAAACAAGTGTCAAGTCTAATGCATTCTGCCTCCATCTATGAGATCCTACTGTAGTCATCTGACCATCTTTCAAGATTACAAGATTGTTGTCATCTACACTTGCAAGAACGTCCCTACCTCGTGAATCTAATTCAGTACATCCCCATAACGTGTGATGGGCGTTGAAATCACCAGCTATAAAGACTGGCTGTGGCAAACTTTGGATTAAATTATCTAATTTGGATTTATTATAATTAATTGACGAATTAGGGAGACAGTAAACACTAACTAAATTTAATAATTTATCATTGTATTGTATTTGTACAGCTATATTTTTAATGAGTCATCAGAGAATGTATTGATAACACGAAATCTAATTTTGTTATGTAGAAGTATTGCTACTCCATTATGATCATTACCTGAATCTAATCGTATAATATTATAACCTTTTACTCTAAAATTGTGCCTTGGTTTAAGCCAAGTTTCACATATGAGAGCAACATCTATGGTGTTCTTATATAAAAATTGTGTAAATTGAAACCTATTTTTAATTAAACTCTGTGCATTCGATTGTAAAATGTTAAACTGATCCATAAAATATTAAATGTTAAATAATAAAATATCTATTTTGGTTTCATTGTATCTATGAGAACATCTTTAATAAGCTGAGAAGATATGGTGATTTGTTCATTTGATTTATTAAGAGTTAATACTTTAATGACTGTATTTAAAATTATATTAATAATGTCATCATTCTTTAGCAGTGACATAAGAGCATCTTTAGGATTTTTTTTGTTTAATTCGGGGAATTCGTTTTTATTAAAAAGGTCTACGAACGGGGTTTTGTGTCTCAGACAGTTGTAGCACTGCTTCACTGGTGGAATATACTGATTTACCACGAACCGCCAACCATGAAGATCGACGTGGTCCGGCAAAACATTAGAAGCGAACGTGTTGGCCACGGTGCCCGTCAGCTGCAGCAAACTGCGTCCTGCGTCATTCTTACGTTTCCTCATTATCCTTTTAACACATATTATCTTCCTGTAAGTCGTTAACATGCCAAAAATTCTTGAATTAGAAAGATTATTGGGAACATTAGTTATGACTCCTGTTATTTCTGTCCCTACAGC